AAGATCATACTCTGGAGGAACTGTGAGGCCTCCAGACTGCCTGATTTTATGAAGTCAAGCACTCTGGGAGAGATGCGGTAGTGGTAAATATAAATGTTATTATGTATCTAAATTTACACATGCTTGCTGTGGGGAGAAAAGTCTTGGTTGGTGGCAGGTGGGCGAGTGGAATTTGTATAAGGTAATGGTTCAGAAAGGGTTGATGGTGAGAGTGCCTCAAGCTTCAGCCAAGATGATATTGTCATGATGTAGACAGATGTTGTCAATGTTGCCTCATGAATTATTGAGTACTACTTATTGTAATCCTGCGATGACCTGTCTCTTGATAGAACAAGTGCCTCTTCTCATTAACACTCAAGTGGTTCAGCCTCTATCACTTTGATACTTGATCACTGAAGAGGTCCCTAGAGCTGGTAAAAAAAAGGAGGATTTTCCTAATTAGGGCCTGTTTAAACTGTTAATTTATTGATTTATTTAAAAGAGTGGAAAGTAGGTTTGGTGGCAGCACTGAACACAAACCATCAGTTGATAGTGTTTGGTACCATAGCACATAAAATTAAATCAATTGTGTTACAACAGATGTAGGAGGGTGCACCAGTTCTGAGGAAGGGTCACCGGACCCAAAACGTTTTCTTCACAGATGCTGCTGGGCCTGCTGAGTTTTTCCAGCAACTTCTGTTTTTGCACCAACTCCTGCTTGATTCCACTCCCCAACTTATTGCAATAAATTCTTAAACATGATGATGTAATGACTGATACTCTAGTATCGGTTAACATTAGAAACAAATCAACCAGTCTTCTTTAATAATATCCTTTAGGGACAGAAACTATCATCCTTACCTGGTCTTGCTTACTTATGATTCCAGACCCACATCAATGTGGTTGACTCTTAACTGCTCTCTGGGCAATTAGGGACAGGCAATAAATGCTACCTGGCCAGCAATGCCCTCATCCCGTGAATGAATAAAAGAAAAAAATTCTAACGCCCCAAACTTAACATGAGGCAAACATGGGTAACAAACATTTGTCAAACACCCTATAGATCAAATTAAATAGCAAATATGGTCAAGACAGATCTAATGGATTTCTCAGCATTTCCCCAAGAGCTTAGAGACTTAATGAGTCACAAAATCTCAATAAAGCTTCACAAGGGATTACAATAGTTCACTTTGGAAGACCTGGCTTTCAAATTCCGTTCAAAAGCATCATGAATTGTTCCAATGATTGTTCATATTCTGGTGCTTAACCTTGCTTTCTATACTATATTCCCTGGACGCTTGGAGATAGCATTCTAGCACTTCCCCAGCTTCAGTCTGTTTTCTGAGCTCTAATTTGGCTCAGTTGCACGAAGCAAAAATGCTTGTGGGCTTCCTTCACCTTCACTCAGCTGCACTGAACTATTAATGGCACACGACTTCTGCTGAGCACTCGCAACTCCCAGCACTTTTCTGGGTGCTAACTCAAACAATTATTTGCCTACCACAGTAGTTCCTAGCACTTCTTCTTGAGATCTAACAGCACAGAGCCATCCATCTGTTCTTGACTACTCAGAGTCCCCAGTTATACAGACCAAGTGTAGATTGGTTTACTTTTCAGCAGTATAGTTTAACAGTTCTTTTCTACACAGAGCTTGCTTCTGCTTAATTTGCCTTCTTCAACTAATTTTGAATCAGGAACTGCTCTTCAGTGATTTCTAAATTATTTTGAATGACCTTCTAAAAACCTTAGAAGAAGCTCTGCTCTTGTTCCAAGAAAAATAAATATGTAACTAATATTTTGAAGGAGTCAAATGTAGCAAATCCTTGGAACTGCCTGTCCATTGAAAGTTACAATGTGGTCAAGTGCTGGTTCCTGTATCACAAATTGTTACAGCAAAAAAAGGAATTTATCACAATTGCCATTTCCAATACCTTTCATGATCTATCACAGCTACACTGCAACCATGGTTGAAGGGAAGTGCACAATTTACTTGCAGTGTCCTATTAGTAGTACTAGCATTACCCCGAATACATTGCTTGTAAATGATTTTATTTTTGTCAATGTAATTATGACATAAGGGTTTTTCTGAATGGAGGATATTTTTAACAACATTGACAGCTGAAAATGGGCAAATCACCAAAAACCAAATTGTAATTTCTTGGACAGAGCATTTTAGGTGAGTCTGTTCCAACAACTTGGTACAATTCTATAAACTTCCAATGATAGGACAGTCAGCAATCAGAGGACACAGATTTCAGAAAAATTGTAAAATGTCAGGCAGCAGATAGGGAGAACTTTTTTTACACAATGAGTTGTTGCAACGTTGAACAAAGTGTCTGAAAGTGCAGTGGAAGCAGATTCAGCAGTAACTTACAAAATGAAACTGGAAAATAACTTAAAATGAGGGGAGAAAATCAATGTCAGTGCTATGGGGTAAAAAAGAGGAACGGGGATATATGCTAGCTCTTTTAGAAACCTGACCCAGGCACAAAGGATTGAACAATGTCCTGTGATGTATTATTCTCTGAATATATTCTTCGATCATTTCTGTCTCTCGGACATCCAAAGATCCTACTTCCCTACTTAGTCATCTGGCACTGCCACTGCCAAAAAGGGATGGCTCTGTTATTGGACAGTTTTCCTTCATTCAAGCGACCTAGTGTCTCACAAAATATAAAATTGAAAAAGACGAGAAGTGCTGGAAATCTGAATTACACGGAAGAGCAACTGGCATGAGAGTAAGGAATAAGGAAACCATTTCATCAGAATCTTAGAATCTGAGGTATGAAATTCCCAGAATTGCTGCAGTGCAGAAGCGGCCATTCAGCCCATTGTGTCTGCACTGGTTCTCTGAACATTTTGACTTCCTGCCCAACTCCTAACCTCTCCCCAGAATCCTACACATTGTTTCTATTCAAATAATTATTAAATTATTAAATCTCAAATACCTCAATTGAATCGGCCTCCATCACACTTTGAGGCAGTGCATTTTGAACCCAAACACAGAAGTTGCTGGAAAAGCTCAGCAGGTCTGGCAGCAGAGAAATCAAAGTTAATGTTTCAGGTCCGGTGACCCTTCCTCAGAACTGATGGTAGCTAGGAAAGTGCCGGTTTATGTACAGAAGGTAGGGTGGGTTGGGGAATAAGGAGTAAACAATAGGTAGGGATAGATCCCAAAGAGACAGAAGAACAGTCAAAGGAGTGGATAACGATAGGGCTGGGAGGGTGAATAGCTGTTAATAGAAACTGTTAGTGGCTAATAATAGGTAGTGTGTAATGGCAGGCTATGTCATAACAAGGCCTGGTGTGTGGGGTATGGGCCTGGGGGAGTTCAGGCCCTAAAATTATTGACCTCGATATTGAGTCCTGAAGGTTGCAGGGTTCCTAAGCGGAAAATGAGGTGTTGTTCTTCCAGCTTGCACTGAATTTCGCTGGAGTACTGCAGCAAGCCTGAGACAGAGATGTTGGCTAGGGAACAGGATGGTGTATTAAAGTAGCAGCCAACGGGAGGCTCAGAATCTTTTTGCAGGCAGGACACAGATGATCTGAGAAGTGGTCACTCAGTCTATGCTTCATTTCCCAATGCAAAGGAGACCACATTGTGAGCAGCAAATGCAGTAGACTAGATTGTGAGAAGTGCAGGTAAAGTACTTTACCTGGAAGGTATGCTTGGGCCCTTGGATGCTGAGGAGGGAGGAGGTAAAAGAACAGGTGTTACAGCTTCGGTGTTTGCAGGGGAAGGTGCTGAGGATCTGTGGGGGGATGTTAGGAGTGAAGGAAGAGTGAACCAGGGTGTCCTGGAGGGAACGATTGCTGTGGAAGGCGGACAAGGGAGGGGGGGGAGGAATATGTGTCTGGTGGTGGCATCTTGCTGGAGATGGCAGAAATGGCGGCTGATGATCTTTTGGTTTGCATTTCGAACCCAGACAATTCGCTAGGTTTTGTTCTCAGCTCACATTTGCATCCTTTGCAAAACAAAATTATGCTCTCTGATTCTCCATCATTTTATGGCCAATGCCAAACAAATCTACAGTGTCACTTAAAAACAGCAGGTGAGTTTAAATTATTTTTGGAATGCTCTTAAATTTGATAACAGTAACAAATTGTAGCTATCATACTCCTGTGAACTTTGCTTTCATAGACTCAAGTTGAGCTTCTGCTTATATTGATTGCTGTAGTGAGGGAATCAGCCCTGCAGAACTGCAAACATCCTTACAAAATTACAAACTAGGAGTAGGCCATTCGACCCTGTGAGCCTATTTCAGTAAGATCATGACTGAAGTGATAGTGGCATCAGATATGTTTTGACCACCTTATTAAATCAAGAATCTATCTACTATTGCCTTAAAAGTATTCAGGGACCTGGCTTCTACCATTCTCTGGGAAGAGAGTTCTAAAGACTTTTCTCCTTATTTCTATTTTAAATGAGACACCCGTTATTTTTAAGCTGTGATCCCAGTTGTATTTCTCACATAAGGGAAAATATCCTTACAGCATTTACCCTGTCAAAGTTCCCTCAGGGTATTTTAACTGTCTCAATAAAATTACCTCTTGTTCTTCTAAACTCCAATAGATACACAGCCCAGCCTGTCCAACCTTTCCTCAGTAGATAACCCATTCATTCCGGGATCAGTTGAGTGAATCTTCTCTGAACTGCTTCAAATGCATTTTTTCCTCCTTAAATAAGATGATCAAAACTGTACACTATGCACAGTAAAGAGTAAAATATGGAAGTATCTTTCCTGTATGTCAATAACATTATAAAAATATTGTAAATATGTTAACATGACAAAATTAAATACAGATTTATGCTTTAACTCTGCAATGTCACAAACAGTACTATAAGGGTTGAATATGAGTTTTCATGTATAATCTCTGAAACTGGCAACAAATACAAATGTTTTAATGATCGACAGAGAACTTATTTATTTGCAAACACGATGATGGTAATGTGGTGACAAATAAGATTCAACATTACCGACTCAGATCAATGTCCAGTTGTGACATTGAGAAGCACATACCTTAGACCAGTCCGAGGCTTCCCACAGTGTGAGACAATGACGTCCTTCACAGCCCTGTACTGTAGATGGCTTTGGACCAAGACAGTAGAGATTTCTTGTCTTGAAATACGTGCCATTTTGTAGCTGATAGACACAGGTCACATTCCGAAATTGAGTGCCTTTTCCACAGGTGCTGGAGCATGGAGTCCATTCGCCTCCCACCCAGCTGCGGGAAAAGAATCCCACTTTAATAAGTGTGTCCAATATGTTCGAATAAAAAAAAACACATGATGGAGCAACTGAGTACCTTTGGTGTTGAAAATTTATTTTCATTTGAGCTGTTGGAAATATGGTTTCAAAGGGTGCAGTTAATGCTCACAAACCATGCAACAAAGTATAAGCATTACAAAACTTGTAGAATGACTAAATAACAAATTAATTTCAATATAGATGGTTATAAGGTATAGGCCTGGTTACTCATCTGCTTAAGTGCCACCTGGTTCAGAATAACACGAATAACCATAGGTTTGATTCCCTTCCCTGTTGAGGTACTCTTTGCCTGTCCTGAAGGTGAAAAGCAATGGTAAACTACTAATGGCAGGGATATTCTGACAATAAAATAGTACAAGTTACAGCATTAGCAAATATAAAAATGACAATCATGAAGTGGCACCTTCTGTTTAGAAGAGGACAGAGGACTCTTTTGATAAGAAAAACAATATTTATTGCAGGTGACAATTATTTTATCACTTGTCTGGAAGGAGGGTTTTCAGCAAAGGCAGAGAGTGCCTTTCAGTGCTCTCACTGTACCCGCTTTCCAGTTGTTGAGTATCTTTGAACGAGGGACTCCCAGGACCGGTGGCATTTGGCCCTTCAGCGGGCAGACTTAATTGGGCAGAGGTAGAATTACCCCCTACCTCGTAGTGTGTGTGTGTAGTAAGTTGGGGTGGTGTGGCTCAGTTTAATAGTCACTCAGGAGTTAGATCAGATTTTTATATGTCTATTTTTTCTTGGGTAGCTAGTAACTTAACTGCAACTGAATTCTCCAATTTATGTGGGCACTTTCAGAAGGTGCCAGGCTGTTGGGGAATTGCCCATTGGGATCTTCAATTACCTGGACAAGATCTGCTAGGTTGGGGATTTCACAGTGCCCTTCACACAACTCTCACCTAGGCTACAGAAGCGAATCTCTGGCCAACAGAAAATCCAAGCCATAATGGGAATACATGTGAAGTTATTCAACCGAAAGACAAAATATTTCTTAGAAGGCGAGAGGTTGGGAAGTGCAGGTGGCCCGGGAGGCCTGGGTATGCTTGTTAGAAGTCACTAAAAGTTAGCATTCACACGCAGTAAGCAACTAAGAAGTATTGAAGCTAATGTATAACTAAGTTGAACTTATATTTTGTATTTTGAATGTTGAGAAAGGAGGGATGTGGTTTTAGTTTCATTTTGTAGAGATAGTTTGAGAACTCGGAAGCTTTGTACTATGCAGCCTAGAGACCTGTTTTGGTAACATGAATTTTACATGATCTTACTGAATGGGCTAAATGGCCCATTTTACTCCCACACCTGATGGTCTTACTGAAAAAGAGGTGATGTAATTGACACTTACAGGGAGTGAAATGGTGGATGTAGAAAGTGTGTTCCCCATTGCTGAAGAGTTTTGAGCCAGGGTAGGCCATTGAAGACTGTAGAGAATTCCTTCACTTAAAGGTTGGGGAATCTTCAGAATTCTTTACCCATAGGGCTGTGGAAGCTTAGTTACTATCAATGGACATGGACAGTACGTTGGAAAGTGACAGTGAGTTCAATGTTCAGCCATGATCTAATTCAGTGATGGTGCAGACTCCGGTACAAACCTGACACCAGTAATTCTCTAAGGCTTACCTTGGAAGGATGACCAAAACCACATGGAAGTCTCAGTATTTGAGTAACAAGACAGGTTTACTATATTGTAATAGGATAGCAGGTTACAGTTGAATAAAACTAGAGAACTATATTGCAAGGTAAGTAGTACACCATATCTGATGAGATACTTCCTCTATGTCCTGGGGATTATAGGCTACAGAGTCTAACTGCAGACTGGCTCACTCCACTCAGAGGCTGCACACACAAGTCAGCTGAGCTGTTCAAAAACTTCCAAGTTAACTCTTTTGGGCCAACTACCTTATACAACACAATAAAGTTTCAGTCATCTTTTTGAAAAGGATGAGACTAAAATTGTACTATCAGAAAAACAAAACAGGTTGGTGAAGTGATCTAATTGTGATTTTTAAGATTATGAGATTTGATAGGATTGGTGCAGCGAAGACGTTTCCGCTGATGGGGTCACCAAACCCATGGGCCAGAAATATATAATAGTCACCAATGATTCTATTACAGAATTCAGGAGAGACATTTTTACTCATAAATTGGTGAAAATGTAGAATCTGCCAACACAAAGTAAAAGAGGTGAATAACTTAGATGTGTTTAAGGGAAACAAAGGAATCAAGGGATATATTGAAAAGATCAGATTAACTGCAGTGGGATATTTCTATGGATATTTCTATTAGATTTGTACACTGGCATACTTGAGCCCAATGACAAGTTTCAGTCCTACAATTACCATTTAGCTATATATCTGGTAGGAAAAAATGTTGAGAACAGTAATGATAGATCAGTCAGTTGGACAGCCCATGCTAGAATTTTCTATTCAATTAACATTGAAGCAAATATAAATTCTGCTCAAGGGTGGCATGGTTAGCACTGCTGCCTCCCAGTGCCAGGGACCTGGGTTCAATTCTAGCTTCGGTCTTGCACATTTTCGTTGTGTCTGTGTAGGTTTCCTCCCACAGCCCAAAGATATGCAGGTTAGGTGGATTCATCATACTAAATTGCCCATAGTGTCCAGTGATGTATAGGTTAGGTGGATTAGGCGTGGATGTTGCAGGGATAGGGTAGGGGGGTGAGTCTGTGTGGGGGAGTTGGCGTGGACTTAACATAGAACATAGAACATAGAACATTACAGCGCAGTACAGGCCCTTCGGCCCTCGATGTTGCGCCGACCTGTGAAAACCAATCTGAAGCCCATCTAACCTAAACTATTCCATTATCATCCATATGTTTATCCAATGACCATTTAAATGCCCTTAAAGTGGGCGAGTCTACTATTTTTGCAGGCAGGGCATTCCACGCCCCTACTACTCTTGTTGGGCTGAATGGCCTGTTCTCACATTGTACGGATTCTATGAAAAAAAATCAAATGTCTGTAACATAGCATAATTTAGACTCTTTCAGTCATCAAGTCATTTCAATTATGCACATCACATAGATCCCTCAGCATCGTACTTGCAAACACATTTCAAGTTGAATGCTCAACATTTTAGCAAAATTATTTGGAAAAAAGTAAATAAGATGTCTTAGAATTTTGTGCAACCAATATTTATGCAATATTATAAGATTTCATTTGCATTGTGGGAGAGGCAGTGCAGCATTCAGGATCTTAAAGATTGATGGAGGTGGAGGAGGAGTGAATAAAATGGACACCTCGAGGTTGGAGAAAGGGGAGGTGCAGAAAGTGAATGAGGAGATATTGAACTAGGTAGCAATAGGAAGTGGTGGAAGAGGAGGAAACAGAGGGAAGAAAGAACAAGAACAGTGAAGGTAGGACATGGAGGAAGAGTCAGAGTGCTTTACTAAAGAAAGGAACCTGAAAAAGGTGGGGACCAGCCCATGACATTGATGAGGAGCTTGCAATAAGAAGAGGTGAAGTGTATCATTGGCATGCTGTGCACTCTCTCCAACCAACAGGTTTCATGAAAGGATTGCTAACTTGTCACTGGGCGCAGCAGGGTAAAAGGAGTTGTGTTATATCTCACAGTAGATATGTGATATTCCTTTAAAGTGCATGCTCCTGATGTCATTACCGTGTCATGGCACGTGACTTAATGGTATGAGCTCTCAGTCTCTGTCTTACTGAGTGAGCTCTGTCCTCTTGCCATATGACACAGAGGGAAACATGCTCCAGTACATCTGCATTACTTAGCTTGAGTCCAGACACACAAATGCCTGTGATTGTAATGTTCACACATATGTACCAGGGGCTATAATAAAAGTTGATTGAGTTCTTCAGTATTGTATAAGCCATGTAGGCAAAGGGGATACTTATCTTTTGTAGTGATTAGAATGAGGTCAGCCAGGTGGACCTCATAGAATATGAGTTCCCTGATTGCGGCTGCTAATCTGGTCCTATCAGAGAGCCCTGGCTGATAGATATAAACAGGAGTGTCAGAGATTCTGTTCACTCTGAGAGATGGCTCTGAGTGAGCTGGATCAATGTCAAGGACTTTTCACGTGCAAATAAAGGGTGACTTGGTGATGGGATACTAGCGTCTGTGGAGTTATTTCATCTTTATTAGCTGACGCATAGAGTTTAAGAGCAGGGAGATTATGCTGTAATGTATAACAAGCTGGTTAGGCCACAGTTAGAATATTTTGTCTGGTTCTGGAATCCACATTATAGATGAATGTGATTGTGCCGGTGAGGGTGTAGAGGTGGTTTACCAGGATGCTGCCTGAGTTGAAGAGTTTTAGTTATGAGGAGAGATTGGACAAACTAGGATGGTTATTCTTACAGTAGAGGAGACTGATCAGGGACGAGATTGAGATGTATAAAATTATGAGAGGCATTGACAGGGTAGACAGAAAGGAACTTTTCCCCTTGGTGGAGGTATCGATGACCAGGGGACATATACTTAAGGTAAGGGGCACAGGTTTCGAGGAGATGAGAGGAAATTTGTTTTCACTGAAGGTGGTAGGATTCAGGAGCTCAATCTCTAAATGGGTGGTAGAGGCAGCAGCCTATATAACATTTAAGAAGTATTTAGATGCATTCTTGTGATGCCAAGGCATACAAGGCTATGGGCCAAGTGCTGGAAAATGGGATTAGAATAGTTAGGTGACTGTTTTTGACTGGCACAGACTCGATGGGCCAAAGGGCCTTTTTCTCTGCTGTAAACCTCTATGATTCTATAACATCAATGTATCACATCACAATAGAAAGATAGAAACAAATAAGATAGGAGCAGTAAGTAGGCTATTCGACCCCTCGAGCCTGCTCTGCAATTCAATATGATCACGGCTGATCATCACGCTCAATACCTTAATCCCACTCTCTTCCCATGTCCCTTGATCCCTTTAGCCACAACAGCTGTACCTACTTTCTTCTTGAAAACATATCAGGTTTT